TTGTATGTATGCGATTTTAACTTGTCACACCGTTTACCGGTAGAGTGGTAACGCTAATGCCGACGAAATTACGAAATTCAGTCGTCTCGCCAAATAGTTACTAAAAAAATGTTAGATAAATACTTGGATATTGTTTAAATGAATATATTTATATACATACAAAGAATGTATGTAAGTAATGTATATGCATTTAAGTGTGACTACGAAACGGCTGTTCCGTTTATAATCGAAAAAACGTGACGCATACGTGAATACCCGGACATACATATGTACGTACGTAAGCAGCTGGCAATGCGTATACCTGCCTATGCGCAAAGGTTAAATAAAAGTCAAAGACAGTGCGCTTGGAAGCGAGAACAACTCGGCTGCGTCTGCAGCGGCGTGCAACTAATGCGCAATGACGTTCCAGCAGTAAACGAATAGATACATACATATGCTGTCCATACATATGTACAAATGTACATGCATGCATACATAGTTATTCACTTGCATAAAACTATTGACTGATTATTTTTTAATTTTTTTATATAATTCCTATTGCTTGCTGTGGAGTGCCTTCGATTTGTCTTCATCCTTTATTTTATTGTAATTTAGCTGAAATGTGTATTGTAGTTATTGTTGAAATAAATAGTTTAAATAATAGAAAGCTAATAGGGAAAATATAATAAATAATAATATGGAAAATATTATTGTTATTACCAAAAAAAAAATAATAAAATAATTTCTATGGAGGTTGTTAATAAAATTATTTAAATTTGAGATAAAATATTTTTTCGGGATTAAAATTAAAATTATTTACTTAAAAAAAATTTAAGAACATCATACTTTCATCGTATATAATAACGGTGAACAAAATTTGTGTATGTGTGAAGTTTGTAAATCATTTGTTTATGTTTCCCATCAAGTTCAGGTTCAAGAATATTATTTATTTTTAATTTTTTTCTTTTTCTATGTTAAAACATATATTTTATCTTCTTTATTTGCGTATACATTTATTATTACTTTTTTACATACTAAATATTTTGCATTGTTATTAGTGCAGAGTTGCCACTCAATTTGCAGAAAAATTTCAAAGACCCACTCCACGCTTCTCAGCTATAAAGATAAACATTTATGCAACCCTATAGACCAGATAATCTACGAATCTTTTAGTTTTTCAATTACTTTCGCCTTCTACTTCCGCTTGCGTTTTTTAATGAAATTGTTTGATATAAATATTTAAGCAAATATGGTTAAATGGCATTATTTGAGTGATAACATCCATCAATAAATTTTTTATATACCAATTTCGGTTGAAAAAATAATTTCAATATTTTCTTTTAGAAAATGCCGAAGAAAACTAATTTCACATGAATTTCGTTATCTGGCAGCTCTTTCGCAATAAAGAGTGCGCTAAGAGATACATAAGTACACAAATTTTCAATAAAAGCTGTAAGCACATTTCTCTTACTTTCCGTGATGTGAACATGCGCCATTACCGTGCTCGAAACTTTCCAATCAAACCGAAAAGTACCTAATATGCACATATATACATATGTATTTATATACTCGTACATACATTTTGTACAAAATTGCTGTCAACCCTCTTAACTGGCGAGATTCCAAGGTCGTTTTAAGTGTATGCTACGATTAAAGTACATATAAATATATGAATTTGTATTCGTCTGTAGGTATGTATGTGTGTACAATGTATTATATACAATTTTTTTTTAGTAATGAAATGTTTCAAAAAAATTATTGTGTCAATCAGATGCTAATTTTTTGTTATCATTTAATTACACATAATAAGAAATTAATGGAACATTGACGTACGCGGCGGCAACAGCTGATTTTAATACAACAAAAAATACGTGAAACAGGAACATGTGCAATATGTATGGATGTACATACACATTTATTATTTTTTGTAGGTACAGACAACTGTCTGCCGATGAATTAAGATGTTTTACGTTTGAACATTATATACATAGCAATGTCAGAAAATGGCTTTTAAATATTTTTAAAAACAATTGAGTAAATAATCAAGTAAATAAAGATAACAAAAAGTAAAAGCAAAAGCAAAAGAAGATAAAACTAACAAAATAAATTTAATATACAAATTAATGTACAATATATAATATAATTTTATGTTATCTTAAATGAAATAAAAAGAAAAAAATAAAATAATATAGAATATAATATAACATAATAAAATTAAATTAAGTAATATTAAATTAATTTAAATCAAACAATAACTAAAATGAAATAAAATTAAAAAAAAATTAAAATTAAATTACATTAAAAATAATTAAAATAAAATAAAATTACATAAAAAGTTAAATTAAATTAGATTAATTAAAAATGAAATTAATTCAAAATAAAATAAATAAAATGATATAAAATAAAATTAATAAAATTAGATTAATTGAAAATAAAATTATTTCAAAATCAAATAAATGAAATGGCATGAAATATAATTAAATAAAATTAAATTAAAATTAATTAAAATAAAATAAAATGACATTAAAAAAAATAAATTAAAGTGTATTCATTAAAAACAAAATTAATTAAAAATAAAATGACATAAAATTAAATTAAATAAAATTAGATTAATTAAAAATGAATTTAATTAATATTAATTTTATAAAATCGGTATAAAAAGGAAATAATGTAAAAAAAAAATCATAAAATAAAATAAATTGCAAAGAATAAAAAAATAAATCAAAATAAAATGAACGAAGAAAAGAACGCAGTAAAATAAAATAAATTATATAAAATTAAGTTACATATATATATGGCGCTTTGTAACCGCTGAAGCGATTTTCGGCCGAGTTCCCCCTCCAATTTGTGGTTTTGCGTCTTGATGTTTTTCCAATACGCTTATGAATATTAAAATACTGCATCTATAGAATGATTTTCGGTTAAATAAATAAACAAATTTAGTAATATTTATTTAGGTTTTTAAAAAATATGTAGGTATATATAATTAATTTTTTTTTTATTTATTTAGAAAATCATTGAATAAATGGAGTATTGGATTCTTATGCGTATTGTAGTATATTAATTTGAACTTAATTTATGATTTTATTTTAGTTTATTATTTAATTACTTTTTAAATTCTTTTCACAAATATGTATATATATATTTTATATACAAGTATATATACAAGTGCGGCTGATAAGTTCGCGGCCTAAAGTATTTAATGAAACAAAAATATGGTTTTATTGTTTTTATTTTTTCAATATAGTCACCTTCACGTGAAATTCATTTTTCCAATCATGAATATAATGGCTTTCTACCATTGAAAAAATATTTTTTTAGATTTCTCTTCAAAATGGTTTTCTACGGCCGCTTTCATCTCACTGTCGTCTGAAAATCTTCGCCCCGGTAACTCCTATTTCAATTTAAAAAATGGGAAAAGTCACTGGGAGCCAGCTTCTCATTAAGGGATGGATGGTCAACTTCTGTAAATGTTGCAGCTTTTAAGGCAACTCGAGCACTCAATTCAGAATATTCCTTCTCTATGCCCTGCTTGGACCAGAAAATGGTAGTGACGTTGACTTTTCCACTTTTGCATTTTTTTTAATGACCGATCCCCTTTTTTTATCCACTGCATCGACTCCTTTTTAAACTCTGTATCATACTAACGAACCTAAGTTTCATCAGCTATCACAATGCGATTGCAAAATTCATTCAAGTCTGCTTGTCGGGCGGCGTGAGCCTTCGCGGTACCCAACCCACAGTCGAGCCTATTTTTTCATTATCGTATGTGAAGAGCATACTCCAGAAAACTTTTTAAAAATTTCTTTCCACTTACTTCCTTTTTAACAAGGAATTTAATCCTAATTGCGATAATTTCGTTGTTGCTTGTCCGAGGAACAAAATGTTAATGAACCTAATAAAAAAGTTCTGTTATACATATGAAATATGAAGTAATATCTCTAACTACTTTAGGTCAAGAACTTATCAGCCGCCCCTAGCATGTTTTTTTTTTGTTAAATGCTTAAAAACCTAAATTCGTAAACTTCGTAAGGTAGATAGGTCCTGATTTCCTTGCAGCTTGCATAACTTGCGACCAAGCTTTCTATAGACTATTTCTACTTGAGTGTTTACGTCATATAATAACAAATTAAGAAAACAACGAGCAGAAACGATATATACATATAAGTATGTGACATGCATAAGTATGTACGTATGCCGGCACATATGCATATGTATGTACCGGCATTGTGATCATCAACTACAATACAATATATAAAACGAATGCAATATAAATAGTTAAACACATATACATGCGTGTACATGTATGTGTGTATGTACGTATCTACATTATATTGTGTATTTGCCAAAGCGTGTACTAAGCTTTGTATGCTTTAGATATCATTTAAGTTTTCATACAAAAGCTATGCAAACAACAAAATGTGCAGGCAAAGTACAAAAAAGCTCTTTAAATTTCTCTTAGTGAATGAAGAGTTAAAAATTTTAGTCTCATCAACCCCAAAAACTTTGACACGAAAAAACTCTGAGTGTCAGGTCATGAGTTGTATATACTTACATACATTTGCTGATACATGCATATATCTTACCATTTGTAGACAAATTTTATGAACTACCCTTTTTCACTTCACACTTGTAAGGGCATTAAAAGTGTTTCTCTGCGCAAAAGCCTCATCGCAAATTTCTCTCTTTCCTCTCATCTTGGCCGCATTTAAGTTTTTATCCACACCAACAACACCATGCGCTGTAGCGTAAATTGTTTTATAATTTTCGGTGGTTGTATGAGCCTGAAAGCCACTTTCCCAACGATACATTTACCCCCAACCCCAATGCCAAGTAGTGTACTCAAGCGAATTTTCGTTGCTCATCGCGCTCTTGTAATCTTGGCTATATCGTAGTAGAGCGAAGCAAGTTAAACAGTGCACTTGTAAAGCGTTTTCGGTGTTCAACGGTAGCTGCGATTTCAAGTTTAATTTTATTTGTCATTCAAGATAATTAATTTTTTTTGTTTGAAAATTTTCAAAGAGAAAAAAAGGAAAAATATCGAATATTTGTTGTTTTTTTTTTATAAATTTTATCCTAATTATTTTACACAATAGTCATAAAGAGAATAGAAAACAAGATTTCGGTTAAACGTAGACTTAATAAATGTCTTTTTTATACTTTTGCTACGTATCTGCTGAAGGACGGAAATAAAAATTATTATCGCAACTGCATAAATACAGTGACAACTACTTCATTTCCGGCTAAGCGAAAAGAACTTCATCATAATTGTTATTTATTAAACGAAAATCGTATAAAAGTTAAAATGGTTCATACAACGATCTACGATGAAGCACCAAAGCTGAAGGTATTTTTAACAGTATATACACACGTATATAATTAAAATGAAATTTAATGCATCAAATGTACAAACAAATAGAAAAAAAATAATCTAGAAAAATAAACTATTTACACGATTACACAATCAGAATTCGTAATATGAGTGTTGGCGGCGACTGTGGCGAGTAAAAGATTCGTTGCCCGAGTATACCAAAAGTGGCGAGAAATGCATTTCTATTGACCTTGGCTAAAGGTCATTCAATTTGGTACTGTGAAAATTATCACTACTTTGCAAATATTTAGAAAACAAATGAGATTTTTAATTAATTTATATGTGTGAATAAGTTACGATGCTATAGAATACATGAAGCAAACAGAAATCACTGAATATTCAAGCACCAGATGTTACACTTGCAAATCAGTGTTCATGTATTTATAGATTAAACAACTGTGGGCATTGAAGCATTTGTTGTGAAATAAATATAATAAGAACTAGTATGAAATATTGCCGGTAGCAACATAGGAAATTATAAAGGAAGATATAGAAATACGCACATACATACATACATATGTACTTGTACACACATACAGGTACATATGTAAGTCTGGAAATAACAAAAGCTTATATTGTAAGTGCAAAAAGAAAAAGCCGGACTAAAATATATATTCTATGCTACTTTCACTTCTTGATTCCAAAGCGAATATAATTAAGGAGAAAAAAGTTCCGTCATGGGATAATTAATAAAAATAACACTGGCATTATTTATGGTAAACTATTTTACTTATAAAAAATGCTTCTTTTCACGACATATCATTCTCGGTCGCGGTTTTCTGCTCATTCAATATAAGGCTCCCTATAGAATTTGCATAATATACAAATATTTACTATAATGCATGTGTATATATATATATATGTATATATGAAAGTGAAAACTTTTTGTATTTCGATTAGCGATTATGTATTCTTAAGGTGAATGAAGAACTCATTCCGAATATGCAGGAGTTTGCGCAGATCAGCCTTTTGCTTTCAGGAAAAAAATTTCGTTGATAGGGTATAAAGATAAAGGATATTTGATAAATTAAATATGGAATCTGAAGCTTAAGTTCATACAGACATAACTACGCATATATATAACAGTATTAAACAATTTTCTAATAACAGTCTTTGATAGAACTAATTGCTCTTGCAATAAATCAAATTGCTAGGCACAGAGTATGGCATTTACCAAGTTATTCCCATCTGGCATCGATGTTAATGGTTAAATAATATCTTCTAAGCGATGCTTATAATGAATACCACTTTCAATCTTATATTTCTATACAACGTTGATTTCTAAATTATTAAAAAAAAATTAAATTAAATGTTATTAATTAATTAAATAACTTAAAATCAAATATAAAAATACGTACAAAATAGAGAAATGAAATAAAAAATATATTCAATATTAAAAAAATAAATGAAAGAAAATAAATGACTAAAAAAAATTGAAAAATAAGAAATTTTGAAATAAATAAATTGAAATTAAAAACCGAAACTTAATAAAAAAATTTAATTAAGCTATCAAATAAATTAAAGTAAAAAATAAAATCAAATGAAAAGGCAAAATTAAAATGTTAAATTTGGTTAAATTAAAAAAATAACACTAAACTAAAAACAAAATAAAAAGGAATTTTAATAAAATTCAAATGAATTAGATCAAATTAAACTAAGTTAAATTGAATAAATAAAATTAAAAATTTATCAAAATAGAAATTACAAAATAGTAAATAATGAAAAAGTAATAATAAATAATAAATAATAAATAATAAATAATAAATAATAAATAATAAATAATAAATAATAAATAATAAATAATAAATAATAAATAATAAATAACAAATAACAAACAAATTAAATAAACTCATTTAAAATTAATTATTTCATTAAAATAAATTAAGTCAAGTCAAACAAAATAAAATTAAATAAATCAAAATAAAAACATTAAAAATGAAGCAAAATAAATTGAAATAAAATGTATTAGATAAAAAATACATACATAAGTAGCAAAAATAAAAAATTCATTCAATAGTAAAAAAAATAAATATAAGAAAATAAATAACAAAAAAAATTGAGAAATAAGAAATTTTTAAATAAATAAATTGAAAATTAAAAACTGAAACTTAGCTCAAAACTTTAATTAAATTAACAAATAAACTAAAGTAAAAAATAAAATTAATTAAAAGACAAAATTAAAATGTTAAATTTAGTTAAATTAAAAAAATAACACTAAATTAAAAACAAAATAAAAATGAATTAAAATAAAATTCAAATAAATTATATCAAATTAAACTAAGTTAAATTGAATAAATAAAAATAAAAATATATCAAAACAAAAAATAAATAATAAATAATAAGTAATAAATAATGAGTAATAAATAATGAGTAATAAATAATAAATAAATTAAAAATTAAATGACTTAATAAAACAAAATAAAAAAATTAAATAAATAAAAAATAAAAGAAAGAAAGTTAAATTAAATTAAATAAACTAATAATAAATAAAAAATAAAAAATTAATCAAGTAATAATTAAAATAAAAAAGAAAAATTAAGTTCAGGGTAAAATAAAAATTAAAAATTAAATCAAAAATATAGTGAAATAAAAAGGCTGCGGTAGCCTAGCGATTAGCATTATGTACTGCCATTCGGAAGACCAGGTTCCATTCATGGTAATACCAACATCCAAGTCATAACCAAAAATTAATTTAAATTTTCTAATTGCGGTCGCCCCTCGGCAGGGAATGTCTATCCCTCCGAATGTATTTCGAACATGAAATAAAAGCTCGTCGTAAAAAATACCATCAGCCGTTCGGAGGCGATTTAATATAAACTGTAAGTCCGTCTATTTGAGGAAAAACATCAAGATAAAAAACTACAAATTGGAGAGGGAACTCGGCCGAAAATCGCTTCAGCGGCCACAAAGCGCAAAATATATATATATATATATATATATATATATATATATATATATATATATATGTATATGTATATGTATATATACATAGTACATAAATAAAATAAAATGAAAAAGTAAGAATTAAGTCCCTAAATCTAAAAATAAGAAACATTAAAACTGGGCTGAGTCTCGGTTTCCTTTTCTAATACAACGTCACGTCATAAACAATTAATTATCTCATCAGCGTGGAGACATGTGATTTTTATGTACACTATTAGTTAGGTTTATGACTTATTATTAAATTAATTCTGACTCATTTTCATAGTATAGCAGAACGATTCTAAATCATATTTGTTCAAAAATATATTTATTAGTTAGACCATACAAGTACACCACAACAAATTACTATATATAATATAATTAAAAGTGAAAATCTTTGGCAAGTTTACTAATTTATATTTCTATGTTTTATCCTTTTAACAGGCTAAAGAAGTTCCACAAAACATGGCTGCCGAAGCTGAAACTCACTTGGATCATATCTGCCGCTTGCAGTTCGATTCCGCAGTGCCACATGTACGCCTCTCCGGCATTGTCTGCACCATTGGACCAGCCTCCCGCAGCGTTGAAATGTTGGAGAAAATGATGGCAACCGGCATGAACATTGCACGCATGAACTTCTCTCACGGTTCCCATGAATACCATGCCGAAACTGTGGCCAATGTACGTACTGCCGCTAAGAACTACTCGGCAAAAATTGGTTACGAATACCCCATTGCCATCGCTTTGGATACTAAAGGACCTGAAATCCGTACTGGTCTAATTGAGGGTAGCGGTACTGGTGAGGTTGAATTGAAGCGTAATGAATTAATTAAACTCTCAACCGATCCGGCTTACCTTGAGAAGGGCAACAAAGACACAATCTTCGTTGATTATGCCAACATCGTTAAAGTAGTACAACCAGGCAATCGTGTATTCGTCGATGATGGTCTCATCTCGTTGATTGTTAAGGAAGTACAAAGCAACGCCTTGGTTTGTCTCATTGAAAACGGTGGCGCTTTGGGCTCACGCAAAGGTGTTAATTTGCCCGGTGTACCTGTCGATTTGCCAGCTGTATCTGAGAAAGACAAATCGGATTTGAAATTCGGTGTGGAACAGAAGGTCGATATGGTTTTCGCTTCGTTCATTCGTAATGCCGCTGCACTCACTGAACTCCGTGGCGTTTTGGGTGAAGAGGGTAAGAGCATCAAGATCATTTCGAAGATCGAAAATCAGCAAGGCATGCACAACTTGGATGAAATCATTGAGGCTTCTGATGGTATTATGGTAGCACGTGGTGATTTGGGTATTGAAATTCCACCAGAGAAGGTATTCTTGGCACAGAAGGCGATGATTGCACGTTGCAACAAGGCCGGTAAACCCGTCATTTGTGCCACACAAATGTTGGAGTCTATGGTGAAGAAACCACGCCCAACACGTGCCGAAATCTCCGATGTTGCTAATGCTATTCTCGACGGCGCTGACTGTGTCATGTTGTCCGGTGAGACCGCTAAGGGTGAATACCCACTCGAATGTGTATTGACAATGGCCAAGACATGCAAGGAAGCTGAAGCCGCTTTGTGGCACAGAAATTTGTTTGCCGACTTAGTACGCGCCACCCCCACCTCAACCCTGGATTCACCTCATGCTGTGGCCATTGCTGCTGTTGAGGCTGCCTCCAAGGCCTTAGCTTCCGCCATTGTGGTCATCACGACTTCAGGAAAGTCAGCTCATTTGATCAGCAAATATCGTCCACGTTGCCCCATCCTAGCAGTCACCCGTTTCCCACAAACTGCTAGACAAGCGCATTTATACCGCGGCATCATCCCACTGATCTACACCGGTAGCAATATCGAACGCAGTACAGAAGCATCAAAGACGTAACTAAAATATTTGTTTTTTTTTCTCACAAATAGAACCGGCACAACCTGACTGGCTGAAGGATGTCGATGCTCGTGTACAATTCGGCGTGCAAGTGGGCAAAAAGAACAATTTCCTCAAGTCTGGTGATGCTGTTGTCATTGTTACTGGCTGGAAGCAAGGCTCTGGTTTCACAAACACCATGCGTATTGTGTGCGTAAAAGAATTAATAATCAAGAGTGTGAATGATAGAAATAAGAAGTGTGAAAACGATAGTGTTGTTTGAAGAATGACTCCTGAATGAAGTTTTAATGTTGAGTTGCGTGATTTTTATGAAGTTTTTGAATGGAGTTCTGGAGTTCGTGTAACCAGTAGTTTTCACAAATTTTAAATCCATTCATTTATAGTATTATTTTTACGCTGGTTACTCATTCCAGCTAGAATTGTTCATAAATTTACATATTTTAATCAATTATTTTTTAATTTTCCTCCACAGTTACATTGATTAAACATGCAACACCGTTGTAATGCTACCTCGGACTCGTTAAGTATAAATATGTATGTAGAAGAATACAATAAGAAGCGCTCAAGGGTAAGCGCACAACTTCATCCTGTTGCAGTGAAATAAACTCAAATAAACGTATTAAACAATGAAAAATAGAACAAGAAAAATCTACCATTCAAACGATGGTCTGCATAAAATAAATAATTCATTTAAAATTCATTTAAAATTCATTAAAATGCTAATGTAAATGTTGGTATTAATCCCCTGCACTAGTGAGGAGGAATATTAAATGTTATGAATTACAAATTTTAATAAAAATGTATATGAAAATATATCAAAAATATTGTTGTATGTATTTAATTAATTATGTATAAAATTATATGCTTACGAAAATGAATATATACTCGTACACTCACACTCACAGTTATATAATCATTTCACCAAAGCAGCTAAAAAGTATCACCATAAAATATCTGTTACTGATTGTGTTAATAAAATACTAACAACTGCTACTGCATACACAAAATCGAAATTATTGTGGAATATTTTTCCTCTTGGTAAAAGCTACAAACTCTGAAAGACCTTTCACAGATATACAAGGTGTGTTCAAAAAGTAATGCGAATTTTGAATTTTCGCGGGTTACGTACACGTATAATCGAATTTCGATTTTTTTGTGGCGTTATGTTGGCACTCATGTCTGTCACTTATGCCGACAAGCTCGGCCATTTTGAATGTTCACTTAATTGTTGATAGCTGCTTTGCTTGCACGTGTTTTGGATGGTCTTCGATTTTTATCTATTCAAAAAATGGATCAAAGAACCTGTATCAAATTTTGTGTGAAAAATTAAGTGCGCGGATGCATTCCGAATGTTGACTGTGGCATACGGAGAAGCTACCTTGGACCGAAGCAACGTTTTTCGGTGGTACAAAATGTTCTCAGAAGGCCGAGAAGATGTGAACGACGAAGTGCGTGCCGGACGCGCTTCAACTACAGACGAAAAAATTAATGAAGTGGAGAAAATGGTATTGCCACAGGGTAGAACGGTCAATAACGAATATTACCTGCAAGTTATGCGCAATTTGCCCGAAGCAATACGCCAGAAACGCCCGGATTTGTGGAAGAACAAAAATTGGATTTTGCACCACGATAACGCCCCTGCTCACACATCGTTGCTTGTGCGCGACTTTTTGGCCAAAACAACACACTAATGATGTCGCAGCCACCGTATTCCCCAGTTTTGGCCCCCCTGTAACTTTTTCTTGTTCCCTAAACTGAAGAGGCCCATGAAAGGACGACGTTACGATACGATTGACGAGATAAAGACGGCATCGAAGGAGGAGCTGAACAAGATAAAAAAAAAATGATTTTTTGAAGTGCTTCGAAGATTGGAAAAACCGTTGGCACAAGTGTATAATATCTCATGGGGATTACTTTGAAGTGAACAAAATATATATTCATGAATAAATAAATAATTTTTGAAAAAACAGAAAATTCGCGATATTTTTTTAACACACCTCGTACATATAATATATAGACCGGCGAAATTAGATTTCTCAAGATATAATAATTCGTACCCACTTATAAGTTGGTAGAATTGTACAAAACACTATCAAAAGAAATCGATCCGATCCCTGAGAAGTAATAAGATTAGTTCTTTAGTGGAATAGACACCGCTGACGCAGTTATAGCCGATATAACAACCTTGCACCATTCTTTTCTTTCTTTCACAGTTTGGCAACAATTCTAATCAACAAGTTCAGCCAGGTCCTTCTCAACCTGGGTTTTTCAACGGCATGGAAAACTTTTAAAGCTGGACTATTTTTTATCTATCCGAACCACATGACCTAGCCACACAGCCGCTGCTTCTTGATTCGCTGAACTATGTCAATGTCGCGGTTTATGTCTTGCAACTCATCATTTTACGGCAGTCGGCTACGATATTCGTCGTAAAGTACCATAATACGCAAAATATTTCTCTCCAAAACTCTTAACGCCAACTCATCAGATGTTGTGTTCCATGCCGCCTCACCATGTAGCAGTACGGGAACCATCAGCGACTTGAAGAATTTGCTCTTCCTTTGTCGAGAGAAGGCCTTATCTTTCAATTGCCTACTCAGTCCAATGTAGCACCTGCGCTGGACTAAAAGATTAGCTTAGACTATAATTATATTATATATATATATTTAATTGGCGCTTTGTAATCACTGAACTCCTCCTCCAATATTTGGTTTTGCGTCTCGATGTTTTTCCAATAAATTGAGGGACCTACAGTTTAAACTATATTATACGGATAATTTTTTAAGATGAGCTTTTCTTTCACGTCAGAAATACACTCGGAGGGGCTAACATTCACTGACGAGGGGCGACCGCAAATAGAAAATTTAACTTATTTTTTTATTCAAAATTTTCTATAAGTTTTAGATGTTGGTTGTACTAGGATTTGAAGCCGGACCTTCCGAATGGCAGTACGCAATGCTAACCACTCGGCTACCGCGGGCCTATAATGAATATTATTCAAGCTTGGGTAAACATACTTGGGCCGAAACGATTGTTCCTAATACTGATGTTCAGTTCAGGGAAATCACCATTTTCTATTTCTAGCAACAGATCTGAGAACTGTCCGGTAGTAACATCTCGTCTAAAATGGACTCTCATATTTCTGGTGAAAATGGGTTTTGTCACTGAACGCCATGTATGCTTTAATTTCGTCCCATCTGGACGCCTGGAAACTACTAGTGAAGATGCCTCCAACAGCGCGGCAGCACTTCCACTATGGCGTTATTACCGTTTGCTTCCCAGATATTTGGCCAACAATAATTTTAATAAAAAGGTCGTGCCTGTTCCACCAGGTGAAGATACTTCAAAGTATACGAGTATATTATATTTCGCAATAAATATGTCTTCGTACATTTGTTAGACACACTTCAGAACTTCAATTTTGCTAAAGAATTCATATTCCAAATGTTCTCAATGGAATTTTGTTTCGAATAAATCAGTCCCTTGTCCACTTCCCAGAAAAAAAATTTTCCCATGGTATTTTTGGCAAAGCTACTACTGTTCTTTTCTTAAACTTGAATCAAGGAAATCAACAGTTTGTATAGATAAATCGAGCATACATGAAAAGCGGCATAAAGGAGCACTCTTTTTTTCGTACAAACATTCCCAGGAACCATAAAAACAATCTGACGAAATTCCAGGTCAATCAGTTTATAACTCTTGGAGATTTTTGGAGGTTGCTGGCACTTTCTAAACGGAGATAAGATTTTTGTATATAAAATTTCATAATCAGTTGCTTCCAGAACTCTTCGGGCAATAGAAGGGTCATGTATGGCACCTCAGTGCTGTCTAAGTAAGTTTATGCCCACTTACACCACTAAATTTTAAAACTCAAACCTCTAATTTTGAAATCAAATCATTTTACGAATCCCTTCGGACAGTCGGCTGGTGAAAAATGCCTCGTTGAGCAGAACCGAATATGTGTTTTGTGACTATGTTTTTGTGGGCCTGTTCCGTAATAAGCAATTATTTTGAGAACAACAAAGTTAAGATAAAAAAATATATTCAAGACGTCCTCATTTTACTTCATTATTTACTCTCAAAAGCATGGTCCATGGAATTAGACAGAACCACAACAGCTCCTAATAAAAAAAAATCATGTAAATATTGAGTTGCTTTGGAGCAACCTTTTACGTTACAAACATCGCTGGGAGAAGGAGATTTTTCGTTGCAACAAATTTACATAAATAACAAGTTACTCGTATCGGCAGCATTGGTGAATACATATATACTTTAACAAAACTTCAGTGAACCCTTAAACTGAAAATGTCGGTCTGTCTTCACTGAAACTTCCCCTGTTTTAACCATGATCCAAGGCATGCGACGTGGATGCGACTATCTAAACTAAGAACAAACAATGCACTTCATAACCGTTGAAGAGATCTTCAGCCAAGCTTTTCCTCCGATTTGTGGAATGCATCTAGATGTTCTTAGACCAAATGCGAGCTTCTATTTAAGAAATATGCTCGGAGGACTTGACATTCGCCGCAAAATGCGATCGCAATTCAAAAAAATATATGTGTATGTTTGAATAATATTTTTATATTTTTGGATGTTAATGTTAATGATAGAACGTCCAAGCACGTGCTCTTAGCTGAGCGCTAAAATGAGTACTTTTAGACAAGTAGCAGCGTACTGCTGGAAGGACGTCTCCGCACTTTATAGTGTACTTCCAAGTGGACGGGATACTGTTCTTCCGGCATGACATCATAAATATTTAGTGGAGAAGGATTTTTTGAACCATTTATTTTTTGTTTTTTTTTCTTAAATTCAAAGTATTTAGGCACTCAATAGTAATTAATTAAACCATGGGCAAACTAAATACTTGCTGTAAAATGTATCTCAAATTAATTACTTTTAAATATATATAATAAAAAAATATATTATAATTCCTAAACTTAATGCGTCAATATAAATTACCTTTTGGGAATATTTAATTTATTAAAAAATATTAAACTCCTTCACTGCTGCACTACTTCCGGCCTTCTTCGGATCTTTTGTTTTTGAGTAATCACTGCAGCAAATTCGGAAAATGCTGTTTCTAGAAAAACGCGCTTAAAACTAAAATGGTCGTTTCCACTCGTAGCTAATGAGACTCTCTAGCTGCCGGGCTGCTCTTTAAATTGCTATAACTCGAAAACTGTTTGAGATATCGATTTGAAATTTTAATATGTTTTTTTTTTTTAAGATGTAATCTACCGAAATATGAAAAAAAGATCGATTTTTTCGAAATTTCACACATATTAAAATAATATTTATTAATTTAAATGAACTTCTGAACACTTTATTATTATTGTAATAGATCAAATACATTTTTGACTTATAAAACAAAATATAATTACATGAAATTTTTAGTGACTTTCGACCAGTGAGAGATAAACACAAAACTGCATTTACTTCGTTTTTTCTTTGCAGGGATGAATTAATCGCAAATTTTTTGCTGTTCCTGCTCCGTTCTCTTTATGGCATTTTTTTTTTTTTTGAATTGCATTTTTTCCTTCATTTGATTTTTTACATTAAAATTACCATATTTTTAATATAAAAATTACAATATTTTTACTAATAAAGTAATAAAACTTACTATTTTTATATGAAAAAATCTTGAATCATTTTGCATAAATTGAGTATCGTAAACTTGAATTTAAAAATTTGATGGTGCTTGCTTTCTGAACTTTCGATTGGTCTATTAGTTTTTGTATTTCGACAAATTTAAACTATTTTTGAAATGAGATTTTGAGCATTTTCGTTTGAGTACTTTTTGTTCAGCCAGTGGAAAGCTGGATGTTCTATCATTAAAAGTTTCAGATAGACAAATAAATATATTTGAAAATTAGTTACTTCAAAATTTTTGAAAAAGACACCGGAAATTGACTTGCCGCAAGTCACGGCTTATACTTTCTCAAAAATTTTAATTGTTGTCCTAACGGTATATGGAGTTTTGGGGCCACTTACAGAGAAGCTAAGGGCTAATATTGAAAATAAAGGAGGAAACAACCTTCCAACATTCGAATATTGTAAACGATTTACCGTAAAACAAATGCTAAAGAAAGCATAAGATAGCTCACGTCGATGAAATAGAAGCTTCAGAGTAAGTAAAAGTCGTAAGTGTGTTGATAACACGACTATTTCTACCAACCTTTTAATTTATTATTTGCCACTTAGTTGTTCCATTTACAATTCTCTTCATACACTTTACTTAAATCAATTAAAAATTCAATACTTTCACAACTACCATATTTCCTACAGGGTCCCTTCACACAACACTATTTATTGATAGTACCACTTATTCTTTATTCCTAGTTCTTAGCTTTTCCTTTGAGTTGCATAAATATTTACTTGCCGCACATGTATATATGTACATATGTATTGTTAAGACATTGGCAAAGGTTTCAGCTTGAATGCGCTACGCCGTGCAACACTACTGCAACAACAGCAACAACAAACCACACCACATCTTGGCACACCACGCCACACAGCTCCACCTAGCTCCACACAGACATCACTTGCCAGCTTATACGTTTTTTATTATCCACTATTCCTTCTTGCACATAGTTATTTATTCCCCAACCTTTAAGCCGTATGATAACAAGATGGCCAAGAAAAAACAAAACTGACTGACTGACTGAGCGAGCAACGGACGGCGCATATAAATGTTGCCATGGATGATGACTACTATTGCTGCTAAAATCCAGTGACGACTCGTCGCCATCAATTCAGTCTTTGCCGAGATTTTATCGTGTGCGAGTGGTTTTTTGTAGCGTTTGCGCAGTTTTCAACATTTTACCACATTTTATCACATTTTGCACATTTTGGGGCCGGTCCATGGTATTTATGCATTTGTGGCATTGCAATATTTTTGGCATATTCTTGCTATACGAACGACTAGTCTGTCAGTAGTGCTTCATCTAGTGTCATATGTAGAGAAGAGCAGGCGATATTCGTACCAACATACATATGTACATATTTCTTATTCTTACTACACGTATTGCTTTTGTAGCGTCAGCATTTGTTGCATTCAAATAAATTCATTGGCGTTCTTATTTGCAACAATAGCCCGCAGCCGGTGTAGTCGATCACGTAGCCGTGGTACACTGCATTGCCATTTGACCGCTTGGATGCTCGCAAGCGGGTGCGCGTATGTGTGTGTGGGGTTACGCGTTCTTTGTGAAACAATTGACTAGCCGCAATTCAAATATGATGAGCTGAATATTTGTGGTTTCAAAGCCACAACGTGAGAAATGAATTAATGTGAAAGAAAAAATTAATAAACTGAATTTGTGACTGTTAATTTGATATTTTTAAATATTTCTAAAATATTTTTTATAAAAATTAAAAAAAAATTATTTCTGTTATATATATTAAACTAAAAACAAATGTGTTCAAAATAAGACTGAAAAAAAAAGAGAAAACTATTTTATTTCTGGAAAAAAAATTAAAAAAAAACTAAAATCAAAGCAAAAACTAAAAGACTTGAAGCTTAAGATTAAAATAAATTTTTAAATGTATTTTTTTTTAACAAATTAAAAGCGAGTTTTTACAAATAATAATTTCTAAAAAAAAAGTTTTGAAATTTTTTTTAAAAGCAAATTCAAATTAATTTGAACTTCAGTGCTTTTGTGTTTGCCTACGCGAAGTTTTTTTTTGTTCTTATGCAACAGTAACAGCAACAGCAATAACAATTCAATTCATTTGACCACAATTGACAAATTAGTTGTCTGATAACTTCTTTCGCGTGTGTTAAGACTACATACATACATACGTTGTGTAGAACATAATACACACATTACATAGATACATACATATAAACAACAAGTACATGTTATGTACATGTTATTTGTAAAAGAGTTCGTTCAACTTAGATGATGATGAGAATGTTGCAAGTTAACCTATTTGTTGCAAGGTATGCATAAATAAGTAATAAAAAAAAATATATATATATGTATACATATATAATAGATGTAAGATGGTTTCGAATTACCGTAACTTAAGTGTAGTTCATAAAATAATGGTTAGAATACTTGAAACACGTGTAACAGCGTGAAATATATACATATGTATGTACAATGAACGTATACGCACAGTTAGTCATTGTAATTTTCGCACGTTTATTGTATGTACTTAACCCTCAAGCGGTCGCGCGTAGTCGAAAAGGTCTATTGGATATATTAGAAAAATAAGCCACTAATTAACTAATAATCGTTGATTTTTTCTTGTATTTAGAGATATTAACATTGTGTTTAGACTCAAAAAAGTAATTTTAATTCAGAAAAAACCAATTACAAAATCGAAAAACATAACTCAATAATATAATTATGAACGACAACATATTTATAGCGGCCGATTCGACGCCGCGCGAACTCTTTCAGGTAAATTTGCTTGCTTATACGAGGTGTGGCAATTAAGTACTGAGACTGATTCCATAAAAACCGTCTATTTCAAAATTATTCTACAACTCTGCTTTCCCCTTTAAAGTAGTTCGCTTGCGCAGCGATTCCAGCGCGTTTTCCATGCTTCGCAACATTTCTGGAACGCTTCGACTGGGATGTCCTCAATCGACTCAAAATGGGTTCCTTTGACCACCGATTTTTTTCAAGGGAAAAAAAAGGTCACAGGGTGACATATCGGGCGAATAAGGCGGTCGCAACAATACGGCGATCCCTTTAGAGGCCAAATACTGGGACATGCTGTGGGCGGTGTTGCACGGCGCGTTGTTGTGTGGAAGGATCCAGTTACGAGCGATCTCTGGGCGCACCCTGTTGCCTCGTTTTTGCAATCTTTCGACCACTTGGCGATAGTAGACTTGATTTACGGTTTCCTCGGTGGAAGAAATTCTTTGTGGACGATTCCACGGCTATCAAAAATGGCAAAAAAATATTGTTCCATGCCTCTTCTTCCAGGCTTTCACGACCTCCTTAAACTCTTTATGTCATGGAAACACCTGGGCACGACTAAAAGCACTGTCACTGACGAGCACCGCAAACACACGTTTACTCAACACGTCACAGCAGGCGAACTGAGCAAGCTGGAGCGATGGCAAATATATCAATGGGGAGGAGAAGAATGTCGGGACAAGGGAAAGGTCGCAGGGTTACCACAATCGCAACAATATAATCAGTCTCATTACTTGATTGTCACATCTCGTAAATGTGTCTACATTTATTGGATCAGTAACTTGTGATCATCGCTCTTTGAAAATCATGTTGTGATTAAAAAAAAAACACAAAAGTGAGGTTAAGTTTGAGCCTGGTCTATGGATTGCCGCTTTCATATTATCATAACGATTCAACAGCCAAGCGAGAAGAATATGCAGAAGTGAACTGAGTTCAATGAAGCTGATTAAATATTTGAAATATAATATTTTAATTTCTTTTTAAACAACAACAGTCCAGTTTTGAAGTGTGAACGCTTTTAACCGAATCAACAATAGTAATCTAAACGTTTGTCTTCTTTTCGCCATTTGTCGCCGATCCCAGAAAGCAAGGCAAGCCTGGCTCTTTTCCATTATCTTTACAACGGGTGGAGGTCTGTATACTCTCAGAGCTGGAATATTTTCATCCATCTCGACAACATGCTAGGCAACGTAGCTGCTGTCTCTTAATTTGCTCAACTCTTGAAATTTTACCACAATCGCCTTCTGATATATAAGGCAGGTTATCGATTAATCGTATTCACTTCACTATCACACTGCTTCATAAATCGTTCAGAAAACATATCTCTCTCAAAATATGATTTGGCGATGTGTAAAAGAGAATTTAATACGGCTAGTTCAATCTCCTTAAACTTCTTCAATGGCACTTGAGTTTAAAAATCAAACCTTCTCTAATAGTATCCTCCTTTGCCTGAGAAGTGGTACAATTATACTGGGATCTGCTTTTCCGGAAATCGCAACTGGAGTTCCTAGACTTCTAGCTGCCCTTAATTCGAAAACGTCGTGCTCTTTCGTAATTTTTCCAAAGTTATGAAACTTGTTGGAAACACTTTCTGAATCAGAGTGCTTTGGACGACCATAAATGAAGCTCGTATGTGGGGCATTTACTAACCAAAATTTAGTAGAGGACTAGCTCCTACTCTAAGAATTAATCCCCCCACAGCGAGAATGCATAATTCCTATAGTAGCTTTGGAAATTGAAAACCATTCTTCCATGTACATATAACAAATATTATACCAAGTCAAACTTGTAACCTCAAACCCACCTCATATTCACACGGAGAGTGTAGAGCAACATAACAAAGCACGAATATCCGTACCATCATCGTCTCGGGCGGGAGTCATTAGTCACTATTAGTCACTATCTTAAATATTTTAAGCTGTTTCAAGCTATTAAGTTACAAACGCTATCCTCATCTTCCTCATCATCATACTCTTATTGCATTTCTTGCCAAAGAATAAACAGCCAAAGGGTCACGTGATGAAAATAATCAAAGCACACGCCATCAATTATAATAAATAAAGGAGAAGCTGGGCTTAAGCCTGTCACAATTGAAATATTATTATAGCTATTAGATTGTTTTGTTGTTACTTTATTTGACTTTTTCCTTTTATTTTTGTAAAAGTGAATTCACGGCATTTTATATTTGTACGTACTAAATTGTATATACAAAAATACATATATTGTATATATATCGTATATATTTCGCATGCAACCACTCCTAACTCGCATATTTTTGGTAGTTCATTTTACGAGTATTCTTAAACATGTATATATTATATACAAGTATGTACACGTATGCATGCCCATCCCGAAATACCTTTGTCTCTCCTTTGTGGAGTCAGAATTTCTTGGCAAATATAAAGCAAGTTAAAATATACAAAAATATAAAAAAATGCTTACTTATATTTATATGCATACATAGGTTTGTGCATACGTATGTATGTATATCTCTGCAATGTTTGCATTAACATATATAATACATATCTACGGGCAGAGTAGATATAGTCCTTCGGATGTTCATTGTATGGAAGTGGTCGGCAACAATTATCTATTCATGCCGATAAATCAAAGTTATCCTTTTGTTCGCTTCTTTTTTTCGTTTTTATTTTATTTATATATTTTTCGTTCATTGTTAAGCTCTTATTAATATTCGATGAAGTACTTCGTGCAAGTAATGTTGATGCATATAGCGGCACCTGGACATGCTTCGTCGCATACAGGGGGCATTCCAAAAACAATATATATAAAAAAAATTAATTTAATTAGAATTACAAAAAAGGATTTAAAAATAAGCTATTTTTTATTAATTTATTTAATAATTACATTACAAGATTAAGGTAACTAGCAACAGAGGCTATCTATTTGAAAAATATGCTATATTTCATTTGCACTGTATGATCGTTTGAGCGACCTCATGCCGAACTTTTACACTGCTTTTTGATGTTTTTTTCCAAATTTATCTATACCAAATTTTTGGTATTTCCTTTAAACACAACATTAATTCTCATATGATTTTCAGTGACACTGTTATTTATATATAAGTACATGAATAGATGGTTTTTGACGGATTTTATACAAAAACCTCATTTAAGAACAAATCGGTTGTATGGGGGATATACGATATAGTCCTTCGATTACAATGCTTTTCAGATGCTTTTTCGGCGGAGTTTTGACCGAAGTCTCATATCTGAAAGAATCGGTATACAAGATCTTTATGTTATAGTCGTTCAGTGTGCGATTCATCATATGTACCATATGTGTGCGGAATACCAAATCTCACGACTTTTTAAGCTCCTTTGATGGATTTATGACCCGAACCTCAAGAGTGATCGTATATGTATATGCTCTAGTGGTCTGAGCTGGCAGGTTCTGACAAATTTTCGTTCAAATATACCAGTGTATCAAGTTTGGTTGAAATATTTCAATAATTGAAAGACTAGTTTGCGAACAAACCGACGGTGACAGGCTAAATCACCTGGCTAAATCAACTCAACTCGTTATTCTGACTCGGTCGCTTTAAATTTTGTTAGATCTATCTCATCTATGATACTTGTGATACTTACTTACTTCGGATCAAAGTTAATATAATATTTCATGTATATGTAAAATTTAAAAATCCTTAAATTGTATATAACTTTTTTAGATGTTGTTTCGGATAAAATTCGAACCGATGAGCCTCCATTTACTAGTGTATGATGTGATCGAGTCCTGATTAAACCACCATCTAAGAATAGTTATCTAAACAGATGATCTTAAACAAAATTAAAATATGGATAAGTTCGTTTCGTGGTTTCAAAAGTGAAACCATGAATCCAAATATTAGGTCAAGTAAAAAGTTCGTTTGGTTTTTTTTTTTTTTGATTTTTTAAAATATATATACTTTGTGTACATTTCTCCGATTTAAATCATGCGGCGTTTTGTTCGTAAACTCGCCAACAAGATGCCAACTTCATTTTACCCCTCTCGATGAAGGCTGCGTCCCTATTGGCATAAAAACTCGGAGAGCCAATTTTCACAGGCCTCTCTTGCTGCCAACTTCTCACCATTAAGCGCGTTCGCCATGGACTGGAAAAGAAGGTAATCAAGGTGGGTTCATTAGCACCTCCTATCCATCTGACCATTCACAACGCCTTACACACGTCGATTGAGTGCTTGAACAACAAGCAGAAGACGACGACTTAATAAAAGACTTGGACAACATGTGGTATCAACAAGATGTTAATACATGCCACACAACACGAGCGAATACGACTTCATTGAAAATTTTTCGCTCGCGTAATCCCTCGTCTTGGCAATGTCAATCGGACACCGAGATCGTGCGATTTGACTCTGTTCGAATTTCTCTTTATGGGGCTACGCGAAAGAGCGTATTTATGCGGATAAACCTAAACTAAAGTACCTGAAGTTATGGCTGGGGTACCGCCCAATATGTGCCGAAAAGTAGAAGTTTGCAAAAGTTAACGAGGCG